AGAACAATAAAAACACTACACTCAACAAGCCACCAATAAAACTCAACTGCCTAACCTATAACCAAAGTCTCCTTTTAATTTGTTTTTAAAAAAAAGCGCTTGACAAACTTGCCCCGCATGCCGAAGTTGCCCCGATCTCCCCTACATAGTGGCCAAAAAGGCTATTTTCTTATTCGAATATTTAGATATTTAATCATATTTTTGATTATATTTCCACCAATTTTATAATACAGAAATATATTATTTTAAGCTCAGTTTACTATTCATATTCATGTGAAAACACAAAACACGGTTAACTAACTTTTGGACCTCCCTGTATCTAATTGGAGTTCTTCGTCCCTCTAATCTATACTTAAAGAACATTTTATATTTTTTATTAATTATACGTTATATTAACGTTTTAACTCTTTAATAAAGTAAATTATATTTACTTCTAATTATTATCTAATATGGCATCCTTCTGAGAAATCCCCTTTTAGAAGGGGGGTGCATCTTATAATTGAAATAATCTGCATGTATTCGAATACAAACATACATTATAGCCTATGTAATTATATACATAATAAATTATATAAATAAAAGGCTATATTATATACAAGCGAAAGTTAATTCGTTTAATTTCGAATAGGACTAAATATTACATGTTGATAACATCGTCTCTCTTTATTATATATAAAATTTATTTTAACGAAAAATATGTATATATAATATTTAAATTACATTAAATTTTTGAATATATTTAAGTTAAATATTCTTTCTAAACGGCGATAACATTAAATATATATATATATTTATTTAATTTGATGTAGTATTCATTAGACAGTGAAAATATTTAATGCGAGTCATGTCTGGCATTTTAAAATATAAGTAGTGAGTTGGAACAAAATTAAGTTTATTCACGGGCCAAATCGTGAACCTAAGTATCTAAATAAAATAGTATATCAAATGCAATTTATTCATGAACGGCTCGACTCGGGATTGTTCATGGTTCAAATATAGCCCTTCATTATACAGCCCTTGATCTTAATACAGATTGTTTCTGGTTCAAATATAGCCCTTGATTAATAATAACGATTTCTAAACAATTCGTAGATTGAGATAAGTTTTATAAAAAGATAAATAACGATTTAATTTTCTATTACAAATTTAATAAATCTCCTGTAGACAGAAAACAATAAGAGAAAATGTAGAGGAGTATATAGAGGAAAATGTTGAATTAATCATTGTGTTTACCAAAGAAAAATACTTTTCAATATTTTCGTACGCTNTCCGATGACGGGGTGTCAGACGGCTAGAGAAATACCAGCCCTCTCGGCAACAGGGATTGACAACATCTGGCCTTTGGGGGTTTTCTGACGGTTCAGATGCAGCTATCGTGTCTTTGACAAGACAAATACTGCAGGCCAAATCACGTGACTGGATTTGCTTAATGCTCTGCCCAACCGATACTTTGGACTCTACTCCTAATTAGCTATACGTTCGGGCACAAGTATTTAGTAACAATCAGCTCGGATCTCTAAGCTGTATAGAATAAAATATATATGTGTAATTTATTTATACAGCTTTTTTCTATAGGCTATATAAAATTTTTCAACTTTTTTTCTTATATTAATTATAAAATATCAGAAAATATTCCAGCGTAAACACAGCATAAATATTCTAGCACAAGCAATAGTTTATATAATTTTTCATTATTAAACGTTTCTCATTCTTAAAAAAAATAATAATTAGTCTATTTTAAAAGCTTATATATATAAGTTAAATGCAAATATTAAGATGATAATCACGTTTGTAAAGGATTACCCTCATTAAATGCGTAAATAAGTAACCACAAACATTTATATCAGAATTAATCAAATTTATTTTATTCTTACATATAAAAGGCGAATGGTTGAAATATAAAAGAAGGATAAAATTTAGTTTTTGAGATAGAAATGCTTTTACACACATCTTATTCTTTATCTAAACTCGAAGTGCCTGAAGCAGTATCAGATTTCCCTTTAGCTCTTTTTTAATATATATATATACTGTATATATGATATATACAGTATATCGAAACTGTTAAATCGTTGTAGAAGCTTTGTAAAGCTATCATTTTCTCCCACTGTGTATGTGTATTTGTGTGTGTGAAATTACTTCTATGAATGCTTTTTTTTTTCCTTTCTTTTCTTCTTCTTCTTCTTCTCCGTTGCTCTAAATGACTTCAGAGGGGGAATTTGTGGGGTATGAAGATAAAAATATTTTGTTTAATTTAAAAAGTTTTACCTCTTTAAATAACATTGTGTTGTTGTCAGATGAATTACCCTGTTATCTTATCTGATTTATCTTCACGAGATAAATTTCTGGTGTGAATTACATAGGTCATTATCCTTAGTTTTGTTATGATAATGTCTTTTCTCTATTTGATCAAATTGCGATATAATTTTTAATT